CCCTTTTAGAAAAAAGGGTACACGAAATATACCCTAAAATGCCATGTATACCCTAATATACCTAGAGGCCCAGTTTACAATTTTTTTAAATGCCATAAAAATACATATTGTCCTTGCAAAGACAGAGAAAAGGCGTTGTGTAATTGCCATGCATATAAAAAAATTAAAAATTTCATGCTACTTTATGAAAAATGCCATGTTATTTTTTTTAAATGGACATGCTACTTTACAAAAAATGCTATGATGTAATGTTTTTGCTTTATTTTGTCCGATGTGCACAATTCATAAGAAAGGCCATGTCAGTGAATTGTCCTTTGGCCATGGCAAAAACAAATGCCATCCTCTTAATAAATAAAATTTTCATCCTATAGTTAATAAAAAATGCCATGAAAGCAATATTAAAAATGCCATGCTATCAATAATAAAACTGCCACCTTCCAACTAAAAAATTGCCATCCTCATAATAATAAAAATGACATGTTAATAATGATAATAATGTCATGCTCTTTACGATAAACTGGCATCCCTCTTGATAAGTAAAAATGACATGTAACTAAAAAGTAAAAACATCATGTTACCAATAATAAAAATTCTATCCTCTTAGTAATAAAAACACCATTTTATTAATTATTAAAATGCCATGCTCTTTAAAAAAATGCCATGCTCTTTATCATAAACTGCCAACCCTCTTGATAAATAAAAATGCCTTGTAACTAAAAAAATCCATGTTACTAATAAATAAAACTGTCATCCTCTTAATAATAGAAATAACATGTTATTAATTATTAAAATGCCATGCTCTCTGCTAAATAACATGCCATGCGTTGGCATTCAAAAGGATCTGAAAAATACCATGGTCTCTGCTAAAACAAATGCAATGTGTGGCATTAAAAAGGACCTAAAAAATGCCATGCACTTTACTAAAAAAATTGCCATGTGGGGTAATAAAACAAGGACCTTAAAAATGACATGCTGCACATAATAAAAATGCACATCGCAAGTTTAGGGGAAAAAAACTCTAAAAATATGATATTCTACCAATAATAGAAAAAATATTTTTTAACTGAAACATTATAATTTTCAAGACAATAGTTTCATAACATATATAGAAACAGGTTTACACTGCAGATGTACACAAAACGTGCTATAGTATAGGTGGTTGGCAGTGTGGGCCTTGCGCCGGGAGGTCTCTGGTTTGAGACCCCTTGCTCGCATATTTTTGGATGGGCGTCAAGATGTGTGCGATGGTGGTGATGGGGCCGTTGGGTGGGCCTCCCGACGAACGATTGCCAGATAACATTTCTGTTTTACTTTTCTTTTCAGGGTTACTTTTCATTGCTTTGATCTATTTTTCCAATTTTCCTTGTTTATTATTTTAATTTTTTCTTGTACCTTGTTGTATTTTTTTCAAAACGCTACATAAATATTTGTAAATTTGTGTTTAGAAAAATTACTTCATCTTTCGAAAAATACAATATATTTTAAATTACACGATTTTTTCTATAAACATGTGGATATTTTTAAATTCTATGAATATACAAAAATATTCTGTTAATCCCTTTTAGTTCCAAGAATACATGAACATGTTTACAAAAATACATGAACGCTATTTCAAAATACATAAACATTTTAATGCTTTGTAAACAATTTAAAATTACATGAACCGTTTTTTGAAAAGACAAGAATATTTATTAAAACATATGAAGACTTTTATAAATACAAAAATATCTATTAAAGTACATTAACCCCATTTTAAAATACATGGGCATTCTCTTAAATTATGGGGAAAAAATCCATGACCCCAAATACATTTTTTACATACACATTCTTGATAATTGAGGCAATTTTCAAAAATGATTTTTCTACCTGTGTGTCATGGTTATTACTCCCCCATTCATGTGCAAACGCACAAGTAATAATTCAACACAAGCCCCGCCAAGGCCATATCTCATCAACTAGTGTGCCACATCGCCCCGCTGTATTGGCATGTGACAATCCAGATTTCTGCATCACCTCAAAACCGATTGCGACATTGGGCATGAAATGGCAGCATGGAATGTTGACTCCTTTTCCCCTCTGCATTGCAAGCAGGTGGCAATCGGGTCAAGATGCTGATAACATTTGAGGTCCCTAGTCCACAACCCTTGTGTGAGCAACTTCCATGCACAAATTTACATCTTTTGTGGAACTAGGATTTTCCAAAACATTTTTCAAACAAGTAGGTCCCCACATGGTCTCGAGCTACTCACCGCACCCCCTGGTTCTTCAAGAGGTTCGCCATGGCTAGGTGATATGCGCTTTGCACCGAGAAACCGTCCATCCTTTTCAGGTTACCATGCTATAAAATCATCTCGCATCCGTGTTGATAGTTTGATATCTTCAATATTTCTTCTACATCAGCAGACATCAGGTATGAGATACTGTTTAAGCCGCATTTCATCCCATGAACCTACATGACGAATAAATTGGGACACCCTTGTAAACCTGCATTGCCCTTGAGGTGTAAGAGGTCTCCAGAAAGTGCCCCTCTAAATTCATGTGTCATGCCAAAACCTCACCTTCCGTCCATCACCAATTCTCTCATAGGACTCCCTTCTTTAATAGCTCCAAACCATACTCAATCCCCTTCTAGACAGCCGACGAATTCCCCGTAAACACAGTATCAATAAAATTATCCCATCAGTAATATTTTGCTTTCACCAATCTAGCACATAAACTGTTCGGTCATTCGACTAAACGCCAAGCTTGCCTCGTCAGCATAGCTTGGTTAAAGAGGTGCATACCACCAAAATCAAGACCACCTTGATTTTTGGGAGTATTACTTTTTCCCATGCAATTCGGTGTGTCTTGTGTCTTCCTTTCCCCACACTCCACCAGTAACTTCGAGCCATTTTATTCAAATCATCACAAACCGACATCGGTAGTTTGAATGCTCATCACGTATCTCAGGATAGCATTCACCACTTCTTTGATCAACACTCGTTCGCGACCGAGGACATCAATCTCTCTGACCAATCAACAAGTCTCTTGGCCAAACTGTATTGAAGGGATTGAAAATGCGCCTTACTCTTCCCCACCGGTACAGGTAGTCCTAAGTACTGGTCCTCGGTGCTGTTGGGTAGATAGCAACCGATATAAGCCCTTTTGATTCAACGACATCAAGAATCCAAGCCGACAAGGAATCAACCACAAAATAGGAATTGAAACAGTGATAATGAGTCACCTTGGCAGAGTTCTCGTGAGGGAGAAAAACACTCCAATAACTTCCCATTAAACTTCACCGAGTAAGTAACTGTTCACACACAAGGGCGGATCCAGCACAGGTCATGGGTGTACAGATGTACATCCAAATTTTTCTGCGAAAAAAATCATATATACTAACATTTTCTTTTGAGTCTACTAACATTTTTTTGAGCGAAAGCAGATATACTAACAGGTCCAGTCCATCGGCAGCAGGCCAGCCCACTAGCTAGCCCAGGAGCAGGAACCAGCAATTTCTGCCCAGTGCTCACGCACGAAAAAAAAAAGACCACCCACACCCAAATTCTCCAAGAGCCGGACGGCGGCGGCGGCGGCCCTCCCCTTCACGGCGGCGGCGGCGGAGACCTTCAGGTAAGTTCTCCTCCCTGCCCCCTTCCCCTACGAGCTGCGCCGCCCCCCACGCCCTGCTGCACTTCTTCATCCCATGCTCTGACAACCCTGCGTCGTCTCCGGCACCCCCTCCCCCTTCCTGCTGCTCCCCGGCCCCCGCTTCTGCTCCGGGGCCACTCTCTCCCCAACGCGCGG